ACAATTGGTGAATTACCGGTGAAAAAATCATTACTTGATTTAGGGGCTAGTATAAACCTCATGCCATTATCTATGCTCAAAAGAATAGGAGACTTGGATGCTAGACCAACTAGAATGACTCTGCAACTGGCTGACCGATCAATAAAGATTCCTTATGGAGTAGCAGAAGATGTTTTAGTTAGAGTGGATAAACTCATATTTCCTGTTGATTTTGTGATTATGGATATGGAGGAAAATGAGGAAGTTCCATTGATCCTGGGAAGGCCATTTATGAAGACTGTCAAAGTAATTATAGATGTTGACATGGGCAAGTTGAAAATTAGAAGTGGATATGATGAATTTAATTTTAATCTGTTTGAAGCTGTTCAACAACCGGAAGACAAGAAAGATTGCCTTAGAATAGATACTTTGGAGGGATTACCCATCTCAACTGAAAAACAAGATTACAAGCATGTTGCACAACCCCAAAGACTCAATCTGACTATGAAGGAAGTTGTTCAAAGAGAGGTACTGAAACCTCTTGAAGCAGGTATGATTTATCCAATCTCTAACAGTCGTAAGGTTATTCGCAATGAAAAGAATAAATTAATTCCACAAGAACAGCCAAGGGATGGAGAATGCGTATAGATCACCTTGATCACTCACCTGCATGAGCCCTAAAGCAAATAGGCGTCGAGCTGAAGACGTTAAACAAGCGCTCCTAGGAGGCAACCCAATGTTTTGAATTTTTTTTTCCTTTTGCAGTTTAAGTTTTTTATGCATTTTTCTTCCTTAGGTTCTTTCTTTGCAAGATTGCTCCAAGTACACAGTGAACTTCTCCTCAAAACTTTGAAATCTTACTTCAATGGCCTAGGGACAGTCCAACTTTTCTAGGAGGGGGTGAGAAAGTCTACAGCTAAGGCGGAGGCACAAGAAGAAGAAGGAGAATCAGCAAGTGAAGAAGAATAAAATGGAGGCAACAATTTAATTTAAGTTTAAGTTTTTTTTTTGTGTGTTAAGTTATTTGTTTTGTTAATTTGATGTTTTTAAGTTTTTTATTATTATTTTAATTTGTTTTGTTTTGAATATTTGAATTGACCCTTAATGTGGTGAATTTTTTAAATTGATGTGATTAAATTCCTGTCTCATACAATTTGGATTAGAACCAATTATGAAATTATTGTTTATTGTCTAATTCAAATCTAGAACTTGAAGAAAACCTTTTTTATTGCTCCAATAACAAGTGATTTTGAGATGATGAGTATGATAGTGAAAAGGAATTGATGAGGAGAATTAGGAATTAAATGAATTGGAGAAGCTAGCCAAAACCCAGGTGAGTAGAGTACCACAAACAGCTCAAATTGAGTGTCAACACTTTATGATGATAACTGGTTTTGGTTGATTCTTTGATGTGATTGCATGTTGGCGAGACTTGAAAATGATAAAGGCATTTCTTTCTTTGTAGTAGATATAACCCAGAGCCAAATAACCAACCCTGCATTAATTATAGAACATCCATTTGAACCCCTTCTGAGCCAAAAATAATATTGTTCTTAAACAGAACCACTAAGCCTAAACATTATTTATCTACCTTCTTATATTTGAGAAAGAAAATGAGTATGAATGTTATTATTTTTCCTATTGTTGGGTATTGCTATTATTGTCCTACGGTATTATTGGGGTGTTATTCTTAAAAAAAAAAAAGTCAAAAGGGGGGAATAATAACTTGTGAGATTATTAACTCACTATCATTATGTTAGGGACAAAAGCATGAAGTTTGAAACCTGACTTGAGAAAATGTTAAACAAGAATCATTCATATGATTTGAATTTCTCAAATACTTTTGTATATCCCAGAAAAACCAATGAATTCCTTCTTAGCTCAGCCCCATTACAAGCCTCAAAAGACCTTTTGATTTAAGTCTTGCTTGACAAATGTTGATTGCTTGAAGATGATTATCAATATTAGATTGTCTAAATAAAGTGATTGAATGAGATAAACACTTACCTGTGAGAATTAGAGATGATTATAGATAACTCTATTTGAGAGATCATGCTTATCTGAGGATAGTTGATGACTAATTTTCTTTGTTAGTTTATGTAACTTGAATGCTTATGTATTCTATTTTTCATTTGGAGTTGTGAGCATCACATCTGAAATTTTTTTATATTGTGGTTCTGGAAGAGAAAGTGATAATATCTAGACAAACTTTATTAGTAATTACAGACTTACTTGTTGAAGTTGAAACAATCAAACTAGTGTCTAGAAAAGAAGTTAACGATTCAAGGTTATGAATATAATAATTGGAAATGAATGAATGAGTTGCACCTAAATCATACAATATATTGAAAGTTTTATCTTTAATAAAATACATACCTTGAATTAAATCATTGTTTTGAGGAACTTCAACTCCAGTCATGGTATATACTCTCCTGGTTATTGTAGGTCTTGCCTTAAGTGCAGATGAATTGAAATTTGGTTTTTGTTGCCGACATTCAAAGAATATATATCCAAGTTTTCTACACTTTAAATGGACATGTCCTTTAAAATGATAATCTTTAGTATAATGATCTTATCCACACTTAAAAAACTTAAACTTATTATTTATAGGTTTATTAAAATTTTCTGTAGAAAATTGGTTGGGTTTAAGATCTCCATTAGAGGTGATTATAGGACTTTCCTTCACTTTGTCTCCTTTTATTTTGCTGACGTCCAAAATATTTTGGTTTATTATTTTGATGATTTTCAAAATCCTCCAAAAATTTGCACTTATGAATAAATGTAGGGAAATAAGAAATTTCTGATATTCCCACTACTTTTCTCAATTCAATCCTAAGTCCATTATCAAATTTTATACACTTCATTCTTTCATCAGGGTGATAAAAAACACATAGCATTTTCCTAACTCTTCAAACTTAGAGGCATATTCCTAATGTTTTAATTGCATAAATTCTATTTCTTTTGCTTTCCTCACATCATTGAGAAAATATTTTTATAAAAATTGTTCTAAACACTTCCCAAGTAATGATTATTCTTCCTCCTTCTAGTAATCTCCTGGTACTATACCACCAATATTAAACCTCTCCTAATAGCATAAACACAACATAATTCACTTTTTGGTTGTCAAGAAAATTTACAACTCAATATTTTTTCCAATTCTTTAATCTGCAATTAAGTTTTTTCTGGGTTATAGCCTTTGGAGAATTGTGGAGGTTTATTTCTCCTAAATTCAACTAAACCTTGTGATTAATTGATTCCTTTAGGCTTTTGGTTTCTTAATAATGCAACGACCATGTCTCTTATAGCTTGTACCGCTTCTGTCAACTCATTATCCCTCCTATTATTTACCATATGGAATTATACAAGTCAAAATTCATAAGATTATATGATAGACTCATTTCATTAGTCACACATGAAGCATTGCTCTAATACCATCTAATGTGACATCCATTTTATCATGTTAATTTAACAATATTTTAAGAGATGATTATTTTCTATTAAATCTCGATAAAAGTAAGATATGAAATAAATGTTTTTTTACATTTATATTTATAAATATATGAATTTTACAAATTTACATTACTTCTATATCGAAACAATTATTATATTGACAAACATTTTTCTTCTTAAAGTGGTTGATTTATCAATAATACTTTCTTCTATCTTGATGCCTCTATCTATTTAAGTTAATATTTTAGTTGTAACATGCATAAGAGACAATAATAAGAAAATCAGAACAATTATCATATAAAATAATATAATATCAAAATGATATATAAAATCATCTTTTCAACTTCATCATTATATCCCATTTATTTTACATTAAGAAGATTTGCATTGATTTTTGTAGTGACTAGTATGGATAAATGAGCCTAAAATACTCCTTAAGTGGTATTTATTTATTTCAATCTCCAAGGTCTAACCTCCATGTCCAATGTCATCAAATCTTCATAAATAAAATATTTTATTCTTTAAGAAAATTTAAACAATAATCCAACAATATAAATTAATGAAAAGAACAAGTGTGAAATTGGGGATAAATATAAATATAAAAGAAAACCAGTGTGTAATTGAAGGTAAATAAATAAATAAATACAAATAAGAACAAATGTATAACTGAAGATAAATAAAATAGGATCAATTCGTAATTGAAGATAAATAAAATAGGACTAGAGTGTAACTGGGTATAAATAAATAAATATAAAACAAACCAGTGCATAACTGGAGATAAATAAAATAGGACTAGTGTGTAACTGGAGATAAATAAATAAATATAAAACAAACCAAGTGCATAATTAATATAAATAAAATAAGACCAATGAGTAACTAGAGATAAATAAATAAATATAAAGCAATATTAGTGTATAATTAGAGATAAAATAAATAGAATTAATGCATAACTAGATATAAATAAATATAAAACAGGATCAGTGTGTAACTAGAGATAAATATATATAAAAGAACAAATAGAATAATGTTAGAGACATGTTACTCAACAACCTTAGTTAAAAATAAAATAGATAGAATGATAAATGTCTCTTATTCTTTGTTTAATAATTACACATGATACCCCAAGATATTCCTGAAGTTGCTTAAATATTTCTCTCTCTTTTTCTCCCTTTCTCTCTCCTTTTTCTTTCTCCCCCTCCTTCTTTTTCTTCTTCTCTATTCTTTCCTAAAAATATTTTACCTCTCCCACTTGCAAGTTTGATTTTTTTTTTCAAACCAAGCTTATCCCTTTATGGGATAAGGAATCTTATCATCTCTCTCTTTTACATTTTACCTTTTTTAATAATAATTTTTTTATATAAATAATCAATAATTAATTAACAAATTTCATTTTAATAATTAATAATTATTTTTGTAAAAATAAATTTAAATTATTAATTTATTTTATAGTTTAACAATAATCATATTTTTATTTTTATATAAATGTGTCTTTTATTATAAAATATTTAACTTATCCAAAATATTATAATTTAATATATTGTATTGAAAAATTTTACATGATAAATTTTGAGGTGTTACATGGTTCGTCACAGGATCGGGCTACTAACCCCAACCTGCGTCGTCAAAGGGCGGGTTAGTGGGTCAGTCGGACAACCTGATAATAATTTTTTTATATGTATTTTTTTTAAAATATATCTTTAATTATATGAATAATTTTTAAGTTTGTATTTATTAATTAATATTTTTATTAGATAAATTAAAAAAAATTATATTAAATTATAATATATTTATATATTTTAATAACATAACACAAAATTATAAATTTTTATTTTAATTTTAATATATAAATATTTTTCTAAAACGAACTAGGCTAGGTGAGTCAAAACAGCGAACTAAAATCACCAATCTACCTCGTCATTTTTTAGACGGGCTAGCGGGTTGACCCGTTAGACTCGATCCGTTTTGTTGTAGACGTTTAGAGAATGTATGATTAGGTTTTGTAAATTTGAAACAAGAAGATCCTCTAAGATGACAATTCTTAGCACAATGATCTTGTCCACGCTTAAAACACTTAACTTATTATTTCCATGTTTATTTGAATTTTCTATAAAAAATTGATTGGGTTGATATCTCCATTAGAGGCAAATGTAGGATTTTCCCTCATTTTGTCTCGATTTTTCTAATTGATGTTCAAAATATTTTAGTTTGTTATTTTGATAGTTTTTAAAATCCTCCAATTTGCACTTGTGAATGAGTGTAGGAAAATAAAAAATTTCTAATATTCCCACTATTTTTTTTTTTAATTCAAGTAAATATTATCAAATTTTATACACTTCATTCTTTGTTTTGAGTGATAAAAAAAATAAAGTATTACCCTAATTCTTCAAACTTAAAAGATATATTCTCGTAGTGTCATATTATTTTGCTTCAATTACATAAAATCTATTTTTTTACTCTCCTCACATCATAGGAAGAATACTTTTCTAAAACTTTTGTTCTAAACACCTCATAAATAATAATAATTTTTCCTCCTTCTAATAATATTCTCATACTATCCCTCAATATTCAACATTTCCTATTAGTATAAATACAACCTAATTCATTTTTTGGTTACGAGGATAATTCATAATTCGAAATATTTTTTTTAATTTTTTAATCTAAAATTCAACCTTTTTTTATTATAACCTTCAAACAATGTTTGTTTATCATAAATTCAACTGAATTTTGTGATTCATTATATCTTTTAATAAAATAAAATCATATAATATTTTATTCTATTTTTTAGTAGGTACAAAGATGACATAATAAATTGATTTTTTTTAATATACAGATAAAAAAGAATTAATATATTATTATTTATTTAAAGTTAAATATAAGTTGAATCTAAAATCAGTTCAAATTTGTTAAAGGGAATTATTCCCGCAAATTTCCTCGAATTTGGCAACATTTAGTGGAGATTAGATTTTTTATTTAAACCAGACTCAAATGAATAATAATATATATAGGGCAAATTAGATTTTTATATGCTTTTTTAAATTCATCATTAAGATTTGTATGTTACCTATTTGTTTTTATATCCATAAACTAAAAACCTATTTATATAAAGAAAATAAATATATGATTTTCACTATAAATTTTTTTATCTACTGTGATTTACTTTTTTACTATTTTAATTACTTTATTTATTTTCTCAAGGTATAAAACATGTGTTTCCTACCCAACTCAAGCCCACTGCTCTGAACCGTCCTACAGTAGGTCTTGAATTCAGGCAACATTCACAAGGCAGGGAAGAGCCCTGGCTCTCTCGTCTTCGTGTTTCTCACACTCACTCATTCACCAGTTACGACTCTTCATTTTTTGTTTCCTACTGTTCATCAATTATATGAAGATATTATATAATTTTTTATTATGGCTGATTGCCAATATATGGAGAGTATGATTAGTAGTTATTAGTTAATTACCATGTGCCAATAGAAAGTGGGTTCTGTTTGAGTAGCTAGTGTGAATTAAAGTGAGGTAAGGTACTAGTGATCATGGATTTTGATGAGAAAATCTACATTGTGCATATGCATAACAATCGTCGATGTGTTTGAAAAACACACAGATGATTTTTTCATCAACAATCGACATTACTTCACCGATACTCTAATGGAGGAAAATCTGGAAAAGTAAGTGCACAGTGCACCCTTTGTCATAATTAATGGTTCAAAGTTTAACTTGGAAGGTTGGTCCTTGCTGAGAATTAGCAGAAGGACGTTAGGCTCAATTGACACAATCTTGAGTCAGGAGTCACGAAGGTGGTTTTCATTTGAGGTAGGTATCCTATTTCTAGTGTTAGGGGAGATAAATTTGATCAAGCTATCCTTTCTTATGGTTTTCATATTAATCGTATCAATAGTAATCATTTATAATGCATGAATCCGATACTAGTATCATATACGATATGAATCCGCTACGAAGATAAGATACAATGCATCTAGGATATATGCATGGATTTATATGACAAAAGATAAGATAGATTTAGGATAGATATGAATTTAGGATATATATGCATGGATATACATAAAAATAAATATTATTGTATATAATTAGTAAGTATTATTTAAATTGAATATATTAAATATATTAAATTCAAATGATTCAAATGTATAAATGAAATAATTATCTAGAAATAGAATAGTATTAAAACGATCTCTTTAGTAAATAAAATATTTTTTATGTTCGATTCTTTAAGAGATAATATTGTTATTTTAATGTTTTCAATATGACCAATGTCACTTGTATATCTACTAATATCTCATATTTTACGGTTTTCTACTAATGTCTCACATTTTAAAATAAAATTGATTATATTCTTCATTTTACCTAGTTAGAAGCCACAAATTAGTATACATATAATCTAAGTATTTTACTCTTTTAGGATTCAACCTAGTCTTTTTCAATAAATGAATGAATGAATAAGTACTCTAATTTCTTTCACAAAAAGACGATGAACAATGTTGTACAAGAAGCATCAATGCTACATTTTGAAGGAAAGGGGAACTATGCATTACCCACCAAGATTTGAGATCCAATGTCCACCTATCTTTTTATTAAGTAAAGATGAAAAACCAACATATTCAAGTGCAAGATTTTTTAATCCTCACTAGTTATAAATTTTTTTGAAACACTTATTCCTCTTCATAGAAATCTCTTCATAAGTAAAAATAATAACTTTTTAAATAATTTTATATATAAATTATAAAAAATTGAGTATTGATATATATAATAATTTTATCTAGGGTTCAAAGAGTGAGTCATATAATAAAGAGGAGTGTAACTTTTAGTCTACCTATCAATTAGTATACCATAAACAATTTCATAAATTGTTGATATATTATTTTTCTCTTTCTCTTCTTCTCTATATATGATTGTCTTCACCTTTTCTATCATAGTATCCCACATCTCATATAATGTGGGACTATTTGGATCACAAACTCTAAACATGTTATAGATAGGTTTAGTGAAAGCTAAAATATATATAATTTTATTTTACTATATATCATTTAAAACAAATTCTTTTACAACTTGAGTCTTGCCCACATCATCTTATCTATAGAATTCCATTCTTCACTAATAACCACACATTGCAAATAATGTTTTAAAATTTTAAATATTCTCATCATTATTATAAGAGATGCAAAATGTGTCTCTGTAATGATAAATAATTTCAAATATAAGAAATAATTAAAAATAGATAATCTCATGGAGTCGTTAATGATAAAGTTCCTAATGAAAGAAACATCATCAACAACTTTAGTAATCCAATTACATTCACTATAAACAACATCATGTTTTCTTTTATTTTTTTCTTGCACATGTTCTTTAAAGCAAGATTCAATGTGTCACTACAAGAAAAACAGTTTTAGTGACCAAAAAAATTGGTCGCTAATGTTAAAAAATTGGTCGCTAATTAGTTAGCGATCGAATTGCGTCGTCGTAAAAGGCCAAGTCGCTAATGTGTTAGCGACTGATTTTCATTTCGGTTGCAAAATAGTGATCGATAAGGTGGTCGCTAAATAATTTAGTCACTTATTCTTTAGATATCAAAATAGCGACCAAAATTAATATTATTAAATCGATCGCTAAATCGATGATAAAGTTTAAAAAAATAATGATCAATTTATATTGGTTGCTAATATATTAATTTAATTATTTAAATAATAATTTAAATCAGTCGCAAAAATAACGATTGTTGAAAGTCCCACATCGCCTACCTCATGTCATTTGGTATGGTTTAAATACATGTTAGGCTACTCCACATATTGCCAATTGGTTTTATGTTGGAACCTTAACATGGTATCGAGCCAAAACCTAATATCTTTCCGGTTATTGTCATGGGCCAAAAGTTGCCCTTTAGTTGGGTCAAAAGTACCATTTGCCTGGTCCGACAGTGCTTCATTGGAGGGGTGTGTTGAAAGTCCCACATCGCCTACCTCATGTCATTTGGTATGGTTTAAATACATGTTAGGCTACTTCACATATTGCCAATTGGTTTTATGTTGGAACCTTAACAACGATCAATAATTTCGGTCACTAATATATTAATTGAATTATTTAAATAATAATTTAAATCAGTCACAAATTTTATTTATTTATTTAGAACCCCTCTATTTATCTAGAGGCTCTTCTACCCTTTATATTATATTTTTATTATTTATTACCCTCCCCTTTATATTATATTTTTAATATATTAATTTAATTATTTGAATAATAATTTAAATCGGTCACAAAAATAGCGATCAATAATTTCAGATCGCTAATATATTAATTGAATTATTTAAATAATAATTTAAATCGATCACAAATATTTTTATTTATTTACAACCCCTATATTTATCTAGAGGTTCCCCTACCCTTTATATTATATTTTTATTATTTATTACCCTCCCCTTATATTATATTTTTAGTATCCATTATATTTTTTAGAAGTTTGAATTATTATCGGATTATTGTCAATAACAAGATTCAAACACGGTACTTTAGAGTTGAAGATTAATACTCCAACCACTAAGTTACTAGGATTTTTCAATAATCTTACAAATAAATTATATTTATATACAAATAAATGTATATCGGTATAAATATATAAATATAAAATCTATAAATAAAAATATATTTATATATTTATGTATTTATATATTTATGTATTTATATATTTATATATTTAAAATTTAATTTATAAGATGGAAAAAAAATTTAATAGCTTGAAGTAGAGATGAAAGAAAAGAAAAAGACAAGAACCCTAATGTTTTAATAAAGAATTTATAATATAAACATTAAAATATTAAAGATAATATTATATTTTTCCAAAAGATAATAATTTTTTTTATTATTTATAAATTTAATTAATTAAAAAATATTAATGTTATTCGTTCATCATTTAAGAAAAAAATTTAAAAAATAAATATTAAATATTAAAAATAATATTATATTTTTAAAAACAAATATTAGAAAAAAGGTTTAAAAACATATATAAATTATATTTACATGGATAATATATTAAAGATATCCATATTTAAAAAAAAATACAAAAAAATTATACTTTAAATTGATGAAATATATTTTAGAAAAAGTTATATTTATTAAAGTATTAAAAATATTTTGTAACATATAAGTTAAAAAAATTATCACTAAATTTTTTAAAAATTATTAGTTTTGTAACACAATGAAAATAAATTACAAATATTATAATATATTGATATATTAGTATAGTATATTATATTTGTATTCTAATTTTTAATTAAACTAAAATTACGCTAATAATTTATAATAATATATGAGGAAATAATAAATTTAATTTAATTACTTATGTATATATCCTTTTTTTAACTTTTTCTTTTCTTTTCAAACTTCTCACACTCTACATTTTTTTGACAACTCTATCATTTCTACTACATTATCATCCTCATCTCCTTCCATATTCTATTTTATCTTTACAATAATTAGTCTTTTTTTTAGAATACTTTATTTTCTATTTTTATTATTTATTTTCTTAAAATTTAAAATAATTAATATTATTTTAACATTTATTTTTATGATTTTTACTATAATAAATCAAATAAAATAGTTCGATAATATCAATTAATTAAAATCATCACATCAAAATCTTAGATAACTACATTAAAATTATTAATTTTAAAAATATAAAATATATTTAAAAAAATACTAAAATTATATATTGGAAAGAAAATAGAATAAACAAATACTTTTTACTTTATATTATATTTAAGTGTGTGCACAAATGTTGATCTTCTTAACTATAAAAAATATAAAGATAGAATTTGAAGAAGTGAATTTTAAAGATAAAGACTATTTTTATATAAATTTATTTTAGTATATCAATTAACAATAATAATACATAAAATTTTAAAACTAAACTAAAAAAAGTAAGTTTAAATTTATAAAAAAAAAACATTACTGAAGTATCATATTATATTAAGATTTTCATTATTTTCGTTAATTATAAATTTAAATGTGTTTCATAAATAAAATTATAAATTTAAATGTATTTCTAATTTTAATCCATCATAAATAAAAATAAATAGTCTTTTATAAATGTTGTTCTATTTTAATCCATTATTAAATTTGTTTTATATTATTTCAGACAAGTATTTTATTTTTTTTATATTTAATTTTTACGTATTTTTAACTTCAAATTTATTTTTTATTTTTATTATTTATTTTCTTATAATTTAAAGTAATTAATATTATTTTAACATTTACTTTGATGATTTTTACTATAACAAATCAAATAAAATCATTTGATAATATCAATTAATTAGAATCATCACATCAAA